TACTGACGTTCCAACTGGGCGATTCTAGAGGCGCTATCGACTTAGACTAGGGACCAACGGCTAGGTGAGAGGACTAGCGCCCCCTCGATTGCCGTCGAGCTGATTGGTGGTGGTGGGGTAAAGGATGACCCACCGCCGCTGAGATGTTCAGACTAGGGGGAGAAGGCTCTAGTATATTTCGAGACAGTCGGTGACAGATACTGGAGTCGAGCGGATGAAAATTGTCCGGTCCTCGACGACGGTCCTAAGTGGCATTAATCCGTTATGAATTATGGGGGTCCGTTGTGAGGACAAGATCCGGAACAGCGAGAGAATGGGATGCTTCGGCGTCCCAAACAGAATGATCGGATTACTTTGCGGACGTGGAATGTTTTAATTCCATGTTCTCAGGGATCCATCACTTCAGAAGAAAGAAGTGGTGTTGGCGTGGATTCGTGGGCCGGGAGTTAGGCCGACTTCTGGAGNAATTGCCGCGCAATTGATGATCGCGTCGACACCTGTCATAGTCGAGCGATCACTTCTGTTCTGGTGGTGACGGCGTACACGTGTTTGGCACGCTTGTCGAAAATNATCCGTTATGAATTATGGGGGTCCGTTGTGAGGACAAGATCCGGAACAGCGAGAGAATGGGATGCTTCGGCGTCCCAAACAGAATGATCGGATTACTTTGCGGACGTGGAATGTTTTAATTCCATGTTCTCAGGGATCCATCACTTCGGAAGAAAGAAGTGGTGTTGGCGTGGATTCGTGGGCCGGGAGTTAGGCCGACTTCTGGAGGCACGATCGCACGTGCCTCCACGACGAGTAATCTGGATGTTGGCCCGCGNGGTATTTTGTGAGGGCAAAATCGAGTCAAAATGTTCGGCGTTTCGCACGCATTTGAACGACTCTGTTTGATAGTGACGAGATTTTGTCCGCCCAGTGAATAGTTTCCTTTGAATCTTTTAGTTATGTTGTTTTCGTTCAAAACTCTCATTCGTTAGAAATATTAGTTCGTTCGGAATTTTAGAATTGTGATTTCATTTTTTTTTGTTTTAGTTCAGAATTTTGTACGTTAGATTCATCCATTCGGTANCGAGTAATCTGGATGTTGGCCCGCGAAGATAGTGCTTTTACCGAGCATTGAGGTTGAGTTGGGGTGGGCACAGGTGGGTGAGAATAAGTCTCCGGATACCTGTGTTGCATGTGCCTCTCAGTGTTCGGCGCTGCGAGGAGTGAGAAGGATTCGCAGGTAATGGTCGACTTCTCCAGAGTTGAACCACTCTGGGGAGGAAAGGAATACCTCAGAGGTATGGTGACATCCTCGGCGAAAGATACATGGAGGAATGGCTCCTGGAAGATACGCTTTATCGAGGTCTCTCGGCTGAAAAGACGAAGATCGATCGAGTGAGTTACTCCTAGTATGGTGGACCTCGCCCACTCTACCGTTTTACGCTGATGCTGGCTCGGCATTGTTAGTCCCGCCACAAGAAGTCCTCAGGGTAGACGAGTTATCCTCTGAGGCTGGTTTACCGTTGGATTTTCCATGAAAATGCTGGCGCCCGACATATTGTAGCGATAGAGGAAATGCCCAAATAGTTTGGGATATTTGCTGGTGAAGCACCGGCGAAAATCCCTTACAATTTATATATATATATATATATATATATATATATATATATATATATATATATATTGTAACGTGTTATTTTCGTTACAAATTATCTCATGGTTTTTGTAGACCTTCGCGTGGTTTTTGGGGTTTTCGATTGGTTGCCACCAGACTTGAA